ACGACTACGACGACGACGACTACGAGTGCTGCACCACTGCTGCACCTACGCCGACGCCAACACCTACAGTTACACCTACGCCTACCACTACTGCTATTACAACTTCCATTGGTATGCCACTACCATTACAGCTGCTGCCACGACCGCTGCTGCTGCTACTACCACGACGACGGCGACTAAGTGATGGTCTGTGTAAATTGTTGGTTTGACCTTTGAGCTTTTATACGAGCGATGGCGTCATTCCACTGTCTGATAATTTGAATGTTTAACTGTGCATCAATGTCGCCAGACTCGTTCATCCACTGAGCTGTCACAGGCATGCTCGGTGCGTGACAAAACAACTAGTAACTAGTACTGCTGCTACTAGTACTTCGACGACGACAAGGAGTATGACAATTACTCTCGCTTCTGTGGGCGGCTGGTGCAGGTGAAGGCGAGGGTTTGGAGCCTAAAAGGGAGCATTTTTGCTTCACTATACGGATTTCGGTTGTCGGGCACGGTTTTGTCCAGCAGCGGTGCCAGATTGTTGCATGGTGTGCGGCCTAGGTCTAGGTTGTGTTGTGGTTTGAAGTCTTGAGAGGTATTGAGGGAGCCCAAGGTATGTTCTATGTACTGATTGACAAAAGCTTCGGCTTTTCGGTCATAATGCCGCAAATCTGGATGGTACCTGAAGCTGACCTGAGGAGAACTACGGCTGCTGCGATGCCTACGGTACTGGTGATTTCTTCTGCCCTACACAGCCCGGCTGTCATCAGGCGTGCTGTCCGTTGACTCAGTCGGAAAGAGCTGAATGGGTTTTATTGTTGCTGTTGCAGGTGTTGGGGTGGCAGGGTTGTGGGCCGAGCGCGTGGCAGACAATCCTCATCTCAGTACCTCAGATAGGTCTATGCCTCATGTAGCTGTGAGCAGGACCTGTCAATGAGCTTGGTGGTTTCGATGTATCAGTTTGCGCACGCTGTTGCTTTAGTTTCAGACAGGCTGCGTGTCCCTGATTGCAGAAGTTCTGCGCAAGTGTTCTGCTCCACAACACAGAACCCTCGAGATTTTCTTTGGTAGTGCAGAACGGATTTGGCATGACTTGGCAGGAGAGGTCTGTCGAAACCCGAAGCTTTGGTACCCGAAAGCACGAACCGTGCACTGCGCTCACTCGCACATTCATTGATATGGATCGTTCTCTCTCCTCTGCCCTGTGCAATTTAAGGGATGAAGATCATGCTGAGCTCTCCTCACATCCGTCAACGCCGGTAGAAGACCCTAAACCCTAATGTCTTCTACGGCGTTACCGGCGGCTTCGGGGATCTTGATATGAGTAGTCTCGCCTGCATCGTCCGAGCTGCGAGAGTCCACAACCGAATCCCGGCCAGACGCACGACACCTGCTTTCCGCGGAAGAGCAAGATCGGGGGCGGAGGCGCCAGCTGTGAGTTTCGCGAGACAAGAGTTGTGTTTTTTCAGTTCAAGACCTCCGGCTGTTTGTTTTGAAGTCAAGGCAAGAACACATATAGTACCTTAAGACCTAGCACGCTGTTGAACTCCCGCCTTGCAAACGGGCATGCCCCGGATACTAGGCGTTTTCGGGAATCCCAAAAGAGTACCCACACTGCACCCACAACTAGCTGCTAGCTACACACTTCGCTTGGAGAAGGGCCTCACTGTAGGCTGAATGCTTCATTCAGGCGTACTTACTTGGTGCTGCCTTGCAGATTCGTACATTCTATGGGAAAGTGTGGCGAGCATGCATTCCGTGAGGGTTTGCCAGCGGAAACTGCACTCACTAGTCTTGTCCCTGCGGTAGTGCTACAAGGCTCGGGATACATTCCTTCATGGAAAGTAGCAGAATGCAATAGAATGCAGAGAGGGATGCTTTGGCATTATTGCATCCGGCATTGGCACCATCGGCACATGATGCAAAGGTCGGAACCGAAGCATTCCACCACAAGGGACGAAAGCTGCAGTCATCAAGCAGCTTCTTCTCAGTTCCCCTTTTAAATGCGCGACACGAGCAGTGTTCCAAGCTCGCACCTCCCGGCATCCCGATAATGTCCTTCCCTTGATTGCTCATGGTTTAAAGTTTGCAGGTCCTTATTTAGTTTCTGGATGAAAGCCCTCAGGTTCCTATAAGTCCGAATTACGAGCTTGAGACAGACTTGGCAATCCCGAGGCCTCGAACAGCTTCTGCCGGAGCAGCGGGAGTTCCTGCTACACCGGGTGCGAGAGGAGGCGGGCCCGTGATGACTTCGGACGTGTTAGTGCTCACCTCCATAGACCCTAGGCCTCGGGAGTGCGAGGGGTTGGAAGGGACAAGGACAAGGAGGAAGGCGTTAATGGCTGCTTGTGTTTAGGAATTGTGGGGGCGTGATCACGTTAGGACTGCAGTGAGACAGGCCAACATCGAGCTCTAGCAATCCTGGTTGTGGATGCCCCAAGTTCGAAAACCGTAGCCACGAATTCCAGTGCTGAACCGGGTACTTGATGGAGCGTATGTTCAGGCGTCGGAGAGGGCTTACGGCTTGCTGTGTCAATGGTTTGAAGGGCTCGGGAGAAAATGAGTGAAAAAGTTTCGGGTTTGGTGGCCAGGAAAATCCGAACCACCGTGGCATCGCATCAGTGTTTGGATGATTTCCTGTTTGGCTTCCACTCGCCAGGACTTGCGCAAGGGAGGCACCCTCAAATGCCACCAGATCGCGAGAGCGGTGGTAGCTTTTCCAACGATGTCGCAGGCAGCAGGGCTTGAAGCGTTTGAATCTTGAATCAAGTAGCGTGTTATTCAGAGATTGTCCTTCCAAACCTGTCCCAGAAGTTCCGTAAGCTGTTTCTAGAGACGGGCTCATCGCCACTTGCGATCATAAGCCAGTCTTACATCATGATGACCACCCTCCCTCCACGCTCAGGTGCTGGATGTTGGAGCAGGGACGGCGCCCTGCAAGCCAGTGATGGAGCACGCCGGGTTCAATTACACGGCGCAGGACACGGATCAGACAGAGCTGGGGCTGAACTTACATGTTGTCTTCAAAGCCCATGGAGCATAGTCAAAAGAGCTGCCATCGCGGTTGGGCTCGCACGGCTCAAGCGCTGAGCGGGCCAAAGGCGAGCTGGTAAACAAAGCACCCTGCCCCAGCTCTGTGGTTGTGCCGTCCACGGCGACCCTCCCCAGACTGTGCTCAGTCATGGCAGTGCGTCCCGAGAACATCGAGGAGTGGTGTTACCTGGTTCCTCATTTGCTCAGTCCAGCTGGTTGGCATAGCATTGCGGAAGCTAAGTCAGTCAGCCTCGCTTACTGCACCTCTCCGTGGGGCGGAAGTTTGGTGAAGCTCACGGTGCTGGACGTGCAGGTGTCAGATGCCCCCGATGATCCCTCGCAGATCTTCGTCCGGCCCGAGTCGCGTGCATGGTGGGCTTCGAACTTTGCAGAATCGAGCCCCGAGCATTTCACCGTGAAGGAGCAGCTCGTGCCTCGGATGGTCTTCACGTAAAGGCATTCAACTCGTTTTTGTGCGGTAAGCAACTTGCTTCCATGGTTTCGGCAGAGAAGAGGCACCAGGAGATGCCATCATTTGCCGGTGGGCATCCTGGAAAGTCTTGCGTGTCTTTGCCGTGCTCTTCGGTGAGATGGGGAAGGAGCTTATGCAGACCCAATTTTACGACCCGGCTGAGGCTGTGGAGCTTCACATGCGCACCCAGCGCAATCATCCGCAAGCCGGCGACTGTTCTCAGACCCTTGGGCCTTGGAGCTCTTCCGTTTTGTGTTTGAAGTTAGGTTTAGGAGTTGCTTAAGGCCTAGATTTCTAGATCCTGGTTCTGCTTGCCGCCCAGAGGACCATCATGAGCCCATCAGAGCCCTTCGAGGCCATCAACTTTTGCCGCCCACAGGGGGAGAAGGGGGTGTACAACGTGTACCACATTTTTCGGGTGCCCAGCGGCATTAACCTTTCTAAGTGGGCCGCTGCGCAGCATTATGAGGCCATGGAATCAGGTAGGAGAGTTGCACAATACTATCTGAACCGGCCGGGGATCAGCCAGCTTCGAGCATTGGATCAGCAGTTCTACGTTGTTCTGACCATACAAACCTTCAAGCGGGGCTTTCCGTTAATCCCAGTGCTCTCTGGTGAAGAACGCGAAGATGTCACGAGAATCGATGCGGGCAACCACTTGGGGTTGGCAACTTGGGTCCGCTATGACTCCGCCAAAGATGGCATTGACGGCTTCTACCTGTCCGGGTACATGCAGGCCTTGGCAGAGTGCCTGGGTGAAAGCCTAGATTTTTACCAGTTCTTGGACGGAAAGGAGCTACTGTACTTCCAATGCGCAGTGGCTCGGGAAGAATGGTGCCGCGTTCAAGACCGCTTGAAAGACGCCTACCTCGTGCAGAAGACTGCTTACCGACGTGCCAATGGTGGCGCACAGGCACCAGGACTAAACGAGGCAAGCACTCCGCGCTTCCGCAAGCAAGTCCACTTTACCTCCCTTGAAGAGCCTCGGTCGGTCTTCGTTTGTGTTGTTTTTGGCCAGTTTGCGGTGTTCATCCTCAGAACAATTCAAAAAGGCAGCTTCTTGACTTTGTAAGTTTCATGGGAGACCGAAGGAGCGAATCCAGGCCGACGCTGCAGCTCGGGGTCAACAGAAGGTACAGGTGCGCAAGACCTTCATTGAGAGGGAGGAGAGTGAAGCCGAGGAGCTTTTTGAAGCTCGAAGCTTCAGGCGTTGCCGGACTGAGACGCCTGCCACGGCAGTTCGCTACGTTGGTCCTGGGGTGGCTTGAGTCATTGAGGCTTCAAGAAGTTCTGCACACATGTGCAGACGTTTCCCTTGAGCCGGCTTGGGTGCCTGTCTTCCATCTGTACAGCTGGTGCTCCGACGCGTGATGCCTACACTATTTGGGCCAGGTGGCACGCCGCTCCAACATCTCTCCAAGATCTTTTTTCTCCTTTCTTTTCCAGAAATTCGCGCAAACCATCCTTCCTTGTCCCTTGCCCACGCATGCCCTTGTTGTTTGTACAGACAGGTGCGTGCAGGGGCCCGCAGGCAAGCCGATGGTGCATCCTGTACAGAGGGTACTACCGTGCGCACGGCAAGGTTTAGGAGCAATTGAATTGCCATGCACCTGCGCAGATGCCGCAAGCAAAACATGATCAACGCCACGAGCACGGCGCCTGCCTTCGGTGGCCTCCAAATTGCACCATTTGACTGGCTTGTGTTTCAGTGCATGGCGGATTCAACTCTTGCAGATGTCGCAGGATGCCATGCACTACAACGGCACTGAAGGCATCGCCGGGTCAGTTTTCTTGCGACCTGCCCGCAGTCTGCAGGTCAGCAATTGGTTGGGGCTTGTCTTCTTATTCATCATTATTCAATATTATTCATCTCTATTCATGTACAGACTATGCTGTTCAGGGGCGGCGCCACTGCCGGCTGTTTAGTGCTGCCCTGTGTTCTGCTGAGAGAGTTTTTACAGGAGGCATGCGAGTCAGCTTGCTCGCTGGATGTGCTCCAGAATAGTAATCGTGTTTGACAGGCAAGAGAGACAGAATGATTTTGACATCAGGAGCATTCGTAACAGTATCAGTCATACCTACCAAGTGGTAGAAATTACAGCACCTGCATCGTCTGCCTCGGCCAGGTCGCAGGTGAGCGACTGATGTGGCCGGGGGTCGCTGGGGATTGGTTGCCAAAATCCACGTTTTGTTTGTTTTGTTTTGTTGTTTTGGGGCGGGGGGGGTGGCATTGGGAAGGAGGTGAAGAGAGGGGAAGAAAAGAGAGAAGGCAATGAGTATGGCGAATCCAATGGCAGTGAGGAAGCAAAGAGTGAACGCCAAAGCGAGCTGAGCGAAGGACGACCCCTGACAGTGAACCGGACACCGCAAGCCCAACAAGTCGCTCTTAATGCCCTCCGAATTAACAGCCCAAACCTCTCTCAAAAAGGGGGCCCGGAGGGAACCTTTGACTGCCTCGACCCAGACCGAGGCAAATAGACATCCCCAACAGACCAGCAATAAGGCACCGACAACAGCTGACAACAATTGCAAACCACGCAATTAAATATCAATGCTGTTTCGATGCGCAGCAGCTCGTCGCTCGCCACTTCGGCTTGCAGGTAGCAAGTGTGACTTCTCAAATCCTAGCATAGCGGCACCTGCGAGACGCATGTCAGCAAGAAGCGAGCACCGTCTGGAACTGGCGAGAGCTGCCCGTAGTTTGGGACCCAGGGTCTGGGATGCCAGGTGCCGTGCCAAAAGGGAATGCGCGATGCCTTGTTATACCGGCACCCAATGTAAGGCAAGGCTACGGCCAGATCGATGTCGTCTCTGACATTGGTAGCATTCCGTTCCTTGGCCGCCAGACCTGTGCTTGCAAGTACTCCAGTCGGAGCCCTGAAGCGACACGAGGTTACCGGACGAATCCTTCGACTTGGTAATTTGCACGGACGTGCTCGAACACGTGCTCAATCCAAAGAGAGCCGCGAGCTGGGGAATTGGGTGTTGGGTTTAGATTTCAGGGTTTGGGGCTTGAAGGCTGCAGGCTAAGCTGAAAGTGTGAATTCAAGGCTTCCGGGTTTTCGGCTTAGGGCTCTGCGGGTTCAGACTCAGAGAGAGAGAGAGAGAGAGAGGTTTGATGCTCTATTTTCGGGCGTTTTGGATCAGGGGTATGGTGTGTGGAGATGTCTCATTGGAGCAAGATTAGGCGGAGTTTTGGGAAGCTGAAGCATCTTCGTGCATTGCCGAACGTGTTCATGGGCTTCACGAAATCATCGCTGAGCGGCAGCCGGTGGGTGGCGGGCTAGAGATAATGGCTATTGGCCAGCTAGACTAACTATGTAATACGGAGCTTGTGCCATTGTCATATGCGAGTTCCAAGTCAGGCATATCAATCTCGGGCCCGTTTATGTTCGCGGTATGGAAGTTGACCATCGTCTTTTTGCGGGCTACATGTCTTTTGAATCTGGCTGTGTTCAGGATTGCTCCGCATGGATTTTAGCAGACCTACAGCATCGGGGAACTCGGCCGGTCTTGCATTGGGTCGATGCATCTTCCCGGCGCGATGCTGAACGGGCAAAACTGAAACAGAGGCTGCCGACAGAAAGCCGGCAGATGTTAAGAAGCAGAAACCGATTCGACAAAGAAAGTACAGGTCTCAAACCATCTTATCACCTAAAGCCGATGCACTTCTCCATGGCTCTGCTCAAGTAACCCTAGCATGCGTGTGCACCCCTAAACAGTCACAGTTGTCTCCTCTACATGCATGTATTTCCCAAGAAGGAAGATTTATGTAGGCAGCTTCTAGAAGGAACAAAAACTTTGTTGTTGTTTTTCCCGCCGGATGCAGCCCTTGGATTTGCGCGGGTTTATCCGAGCCAAGCTACACCCATGACCGCGCATGAAGGCGATGCACGAGATGGGCCGCCTTCTGAAACCAGGTGGCTCAGAAAATGAGGGACCCTGAACATATAGCCGTATGCAGTGGGATCAACCAGGCGGCAAGGGACATCCGTCTAAGAAGGGTGCCTTGCAGGGCATTCCAGTCTTTCGTCTTCAAGATTACGGCCTCATGAAGCTTGGAGTGGCTCTGCCTCGAAAGCCTTGCAGGTGGCATGGTGCTGCTGCAGGTGCCATTCGGAGGACCCTGACTCGGAGCGGTGTTGCTGACTTGGACTCTGCATGTGCTTTTGGTGCAGGGGATACATCATGAGGATGTTGACGATGATGATGCTGGTGATGGCGATGATGAGGACGATGATTGCATGATGATGATGATGATGATCACGTGCTGATGACGGCGGCACGTATAGTTTCTCTGCTGATCAAGATGCGGCTCACCGACAATTTCTTGGAAAAGGCGAACCCGAATATTTCAGAATCTGAAGACGCACAGCTGTACGAGAAACCAAAAGCCTTGCCATGCGCTTGCCGATGTCAACCAAGAGCCCCGCAGTCCCCAAATCGTACTGAAGCCCAAACCCACAAGTGAAACTAAGCCTCCGTCACATGTACTGCAGGAGCCCTCCACAACCTGCCACACCACTATTTCGCCGGCTTCACCCACAAGTGGCCCCTTCGGTGAAGAAGTTGAGAATTCCGGGACCGTAGAAATTGCAACATCAGACCCGTGACAAGATGCATCATCAACACAGGAACAAGACCAGAAGGTACGAAGACGAACAACAGCACAGCTGTCAAGGGCAACGAGCACGAGTCCTTGTACAACCAGCTTTTCGAGAAGATGTGAAATTGGCTTGGCGAGAGTTAAGTTTGGGGCTTTCGGGCACTTTTGGCTCCATTTCAGCCAAGGGGTCACGACTCGCTGAGGAGAGCCTATGCTTTATCGTGTTGAAGCATGACAGTGGCACAATCTTAGACATCACAATTTTGCCGCGTCATGCCTTAATGCAACTGACAATATGTACTGCCACATAAGCAAGAATCATCGTCGTTGCTCATTGTTCACCGCACGACTATGCTGATCTTAAATCTTCTTTGAGTACTTTATCTCGCAGATCTACCAACGGGACCAAAGCCGTGAGGAATTTTTTTCAATCCGAAATTCCGAGGTGCTGGATAATGTTGTCATTTCGATTAAAAAGTTATTCGTATCTGTGTTTCTCTGTCTGAAGCCATGTTTGTTCTTGGCCTTCAGGTTCGAGAAGGTGGCGTCGGCTGCCTCCTTGGAGGCACTGCTTCGTGGAGTCGACTTTGACAGTTTGAAACAGTGCACTTTGGTCGGGATCGCGATGGTGATACGATGACGATGATCATCAGATCCTAGTCGCGGCAGTGTTTCAGCTGCTGTCCTGTGCATGCAGTGGTTTTAGTCAAGGACCTTGCCAGCATAGAACTGTCCGAGCATGAGATGGACTGGGATACGCCGGGTGCAAGGATGACGCCGCAGCTGTCTGAATGTATTGCACCTAGCAATTCCAAGGACTGGTTAGGTGTGTGACACATCCTAGGCTGTGCCAGCGCTAGCGACTGGAATGTGGCAGTCTTAATTTCCAACGCCAGATGTCAGCATCGAGCCTCAAGCCCAGTCATGTACACGACACCATCGGCCGCTGTCCCTCACAGGTAGCCTGGGGTTATCACTTCGAAACCCTCGCGCGACGGCTGCAGCGCTCGCTTCAGAGTGAGGAATGCCTGCGTCTGTGGCTGCATCGAGATTGAAGTGGAGTGAATGCCACAAGGCTTTCTTTCTCACGGCAGTCATGCCTTGCAGCCCTTGACACCGGCTCTCAAATAGCTCCGAACATTGTCTACAAGGTTATTTGGATTTCATTCGCGAAAGGATCCGTACATAGGAGCAGCGCAAGAGCCGCAGAGCCATCCGTCCAGCTAGTACTCCAGTCAATGTCTGCTTGGGTGGTTTGTTGATGTTGGTCAAGCTTGAATGCTAGGGCTTGAGGCTAAAGGTTCGGGTATCCGGATTATCCGAGGAGCGGCATCTTCGGTGGAAAGCAAGCCGCGGCTTGGCGAACACATGCAACCTGGAAAAACAAGTTACGACTTCCACTTCAGTCGCTTGCGTTTGCTCAAGCAAAATTAGGAGAATAAGGACAGAAAGGAACGACAAGAACAATAGCCAAGTATCTAGCATGCCTGACCATGGCAAGGCCAGCAAGAAACAGTCGTGCAGAAGACCCCGAAGCAAGGTAACGGATGAGCTCCCACACGTTCTGGAGCACCTGCGGGTGTGCCAGAGCAACCCAGAAGGTCGGGGGGATAAAACGGCTTCGTGTTTAACAACATATTGTCGGATGTTGATTGGTTGCTG